CGCATCTGAGCGGGATGAGTTACGGTAATTCCGATAAGTCCAATAATTTCATATTTCTCTTATATTACTTGCTTGTTCTCTTATATTTTGGACTTAAACAACAGTTAAAGGTTCAAGGAAGATAATCGTTGCTTAATTGAATTATGAAACTATGTTGTTGCGAAATGCGGCTGTACATGAAAACAGCTGTTCCGAATTAAGTGCAGGTTAACCCTATTCGGAACAAATTTAGTACTTGAATTGATTGTCCGCCATTTAAAAACAAAGTCTTCTTCAAATATTGATTTATGCCTAATTAATAGTTAAAGGATGACTTCTTAACTAGCATATATCAGATTTGTTTTAGAAGATTTTATGTAAAAGATACAGCAAGTTTTTTAAAAAGTGTTCCGAAATAGGTTCGCTTACCCTAAAGATGGAGTGTAGGGAGGTCCAGGTTCAAACCCTGGCTTAGGTGATGTTCGCAATAAATTTTCTGTATTACTAAAGATGCCGGGTGTATGGTCCAGAAAACACTGACGTTAATTACCGCTGGCGATACTGAAGGATTCTGATTAAAAGATTTGTTCGCACGAGGAATCGATTACCGGGATCTGACTTGTTTATCACAGGTGCGTCAGGGCTACCGAGGTGAGACTAGGAGGTCACCGTGCCGTCCAGTTTGAAGCACACCTGCACGTTGTTGTCGTTTTCGTCGACCAGGGCGAACTCGATGGTCAAGGTTATAGATGGATAACTTTCGGAGATCGGCATCTTGAGATTGTACGTTGCCTCGTCGCCCTTGCTCAACGGGCATTTGCCGTTCGTCAAAGATTTACACGCATCCTGCTCGGGATACGGGTAATCTATCGTGACTCCCATAATCGTCACTCTCACGCGGGGTTTCAACGTTTTCGCGTCGGCGTCTGCGGACAAGATGAACGTACATTTTTTTTAAACGTATTCGTCGATTACAAAATAGAATGTTTCTAAGTACAAAGAGCACATTGTACTCTCTAAAATTTGTGGAGTGAAATGTTCACCCTATTGGCGTGAATATTTCCTCCAACAGAGTGAATATTGACTCCGATGGAGTGAACATTTCACTCCATGGCAGTATTTTCACTCCACAAATTTTAGAGAGTAGATCGAGCTTCATTCCGTACGCGTAGCGCTACTTACTGGCGACGAAGTCCCATTGCGCTGTCAAATCGGTCCCTCTGTGCAGCTTGCAGGGAGAACTGTCGCATCCGTCCACCCTCAAGGACCGAGGCCCAGGCCCATCGTCGCATGGATCATACGAGGTCTCTTGCAGGGACGCCGCGACGCAGATCGCGAGGATGATGTAGGCTGCGACACGAGGAATGTACGGTCAAACATTGCGCTTCGAGAAAAGAACACTGTGTGAATTGGAAAATAAATTGACGCGCGTCAAGGTTTACCAGATGCGAGAGCTCTCATCGTAGCGTCTTCACAGGAACGATAGCGACCGAAGTGACCTGCGATCGGCGGTAGAATCGCTTATTTATTCGCTCGATAATATCTAATCGAACACCTGGCTGCCCTAAAAACTGATAAGCTCGGAATCAAATAAAAAAAACATCGCCCAGACATTCGAGAGCTAACACCTGCACCGATGATGTTGCAAGTTTGCGGAAGTTATCAGTCATAAACGTGGAATTCATTGCGCTCGCCGGACGATTAAAGTAATCAGCTGGCAATTAAATAAAGCAATCGTTGCTTTTGATAAGCCCGATGTGCCCAACGGCAAATGGAGAACTGAATCAGGTAAAATAATTTAAAAATTACTCACCGAGCACCGATCTCGTAGACCACTCGCTCGAGGAAATATTTCCAATTGTCCGCGACCGATCAACCCTAGCGCGATTGAAAAGAACTCTGTACTACCGTTCGCGATAAGAGCCGGAGAGGGAAGCCCCGAGCTGGCCCGGCGTTCTCCTATTTATACCCCCCTTGGAATCGAAGATTCTAGAAGAGTCCGAGCGACGAGCCCTCTCCCCCTCTGTCATCTAATTTCGCTTTAACCGGAAGATCAGCTGTTGTTCTATCTCTCAAAGTCACTCAGCTGACACCGCATGAGGTCGTCAGCTGATCCCCCTGTATTGTTGTCGCTCGACGCTCACTTTGCCCCATGTGTCGACAGCGCTTCGTCGACACGTGAGTCCGTGGAGACCAAACCGCGCCGAGACGCGCAGTCTAGCGTCTCTCAAGTAACGGTCTCGAGACCGTTTCTTGCCGCTATTTCGAGACTCTTCCCCAGCGAGCTACATAAAATCTCGCGCCTGGCGTATAATTGATGATGAAGGGAGTTATCTGAGCATGGACCGTCCAGCACGCCCCGGGGCGTCGCTCGCAATGTCAGATGTTCCCTAGGTCCGCTGACCACCGCGCCTACCGGTCAAGGCTCGATCGCGAACACCAATCGAGATTACAAGACGGGAGATAGGGAGAGAGGTGTGTAATAACTGTTCTTCCATCTTATAAATGTTGTATTGTTTCAGTCAGTTTTTAAATGAATCATAATTGAAGGGTCTACACAAGATTGTAGTGTCGAAACATTTTTAATTAAAAAAGACAACAGACGTTTCGGTCCTAACTGGACCATCTTCAGTATGTAAAAGACAGATATAAGTTAACGCATGGGAGATGACGGAATAAAAATAATACAAGAAATCACGCAGTCAGTAATATAAAATATATAAACAACTAATCGGAACGATCGTACATAAAACGCGAGGCAAATATATGGAGCATACAGTTGGAATCGTGTTGACCAGTATCGAAGACGTTAGCGTAATCTTGTTTAATTAAAAATTTTCTCGACACTACAATCTTGTCTAGACTCTGAGCCCCTTCTATATTCTATATCTATTATCGCTTCGATTTTATCGTACGAGCCATTGTTACTTAATTGAATCATAATTCTTCTGAGAAAATGTAAAAAGCATGCAATGTCACAAGGCAGGAAACATCTATTTAGTATTCATTGTTCGTCGGCCTGCCATGGCGGCACCACGACGAAACGTTGTACCAATCGGTCACGTATCCACATCGGGGTACTTTTAAACAGTATCCGATAAAAGAAATATCTCCACGACTCAGATCTGAAAGTAATATATAGCATTTACTTAATACAGTCGGTATGAGAACGGTTGTTTTTCGCTTGGCGACCATCAATCTTTGAAAAATATCTCGTCACGCAGGTGTTGCTACGGCCTTCGGTTCGTATCGAGAAAATATCGCGGTATCTTACTTATTTGTTAGGGGACTCGTAGTTGAGTCAAGCCGACTCGAATCGACATCATTTCTCGCCGGGAAGCGCAGGGGCACCTAAACCTGTTGCAACGTCATCGCGCGCACTTTAAAATAATTAACCCAGCTAGCGCACAGGTGAACACAAGTTCGCAAAGAATTCAATTAAAAAGAAAAACAAGTTTTGATGATCGTCACTAACAGCAGTTTACCTGCAAACCGCCGAAGGATAGACGTTGAGAAGAGCGTTGTCGAAGATTTCGTAGATCCTCGGCTCCGACAGGACCTTGACACTGTCTTGATTTTCCGTAGGCGAGACCAGGGAAAAGTACTCTGCGTATCGATTATAATAATTGCCGTAAAATCGTTTCGCCTCGTCCGACATGTGTTGCCTCATTTCGTCAAAGTACAGCTGTTGCCGTTTCATGATGTTACTTTGTGACACGAAGCCACCTAATGTGAGAAGGAAGGAAACTTACTTTCAGACATC